ATTAATCAAACCTGATCTGTAAACTGATTTCTTATAAAGAATACATATTCTATTCAAACGAACCTGTCCTAAAAATCTTGTCGTCATTAATCATTCCATTGAGGTTGATATGCCTTAAAACAAAATCAACCAAACCAAACCTGAGCAGAATTATTGTTTACGTAGTGTATTTAAAGTGTGGTAATTACTATTTTTGGTCCTTGTTTCCGTCATCCTGTAAATACAAAAATAATGGTGAGTCATGACTTTTCTTTTCTTTCTTTTCCTCGGCTTAACCAGATGGTTAAGTCATGGAAAAATACGAGGAAATCAATTATAAAAAGGAGAAAAGGGCATTTTGTTTTCATCAATGAACGTCCATTGACATCTGTTTCTTTCGAATACATTTTTTATGACCGCAATATCTGAAAGAAATTTCAGAATAATTTGCACAACCAATACTACTACTACTACTAATACTACTCCTATAATAATAGTAGTAGTAGGCGTATTGGCTGTGCAAGCGGTTTTGAAAGTAATAATGATAAATCCCGAATGTAAGTGGAAAGACTTATTTGAAGGGAAAAGAAGGTGAAAATCACCTAAATTATGTTGAGGAAATTGTACAGATTGAAACATATAGTTTGCGTTACTATATAATGGAAAAAGTAATTGATGGAAACCGTACGGCCACTTCTTATTGAAACACAGGTACACTAAAAATCTGGTAACTACCTAGATGATTGACCGCTTGGAAATACTTGGTACTGTAAAATTCGATGTGGGGTTGGTGTAATTATTAATAGCTTGGAATTGTTAATCAGATGGATGAATGAGTTGTTCTCCTTATATTCAATCACACGCAAATACTCTTCGGAAAAGTATGAATCCGCCTCTTCCCCCCTGCTATGGGTTAATTAGTATGAATTGTATCACTAAACCATTATTATATAAAAAAATATTCTTACAATCTAAAAAATATTTTCTGGCTGTAAATAACCTGCAAAAGGTTGTTAATCTGTCTATATTTCTGATATGAGGTATTATGTACACTATTTACATTATTCGGACTATTGTCCTCATCTTTTTCGCCATATTTATTACAACGTTCCGGTCTTTCAGTATTTGTCTATATTTCTTAGATGAGGTATTATGTACACTATTTACATTATTCGTACTATTGTCCTCATCTTTGTCGCCACTTCTTCAGGTGGTTGGAATGTCGAACTGAACCTTTTATTTCGTTCAGTGGGGTAGACTGTTCTAGTTCCACGTGCCATGTTTAATGGATGTCAGTTATCAGTTATCTCCTGTTAACTCTGTAAGTTCTCCACTGCCTTAAAGAGTTGTGAGTTCAATACCCAGGCAGTAGAGAACTTGGAGAGGGGAATTACCAGGAGATAACTGACAACTGACATCCATTAAACATGGCACATGGAACTAGAACAGTCTACCCCAGTGAGCGAAATAAAAAATAAAATAAATTCAGTTCGACATTCCAACCACCTGAAGAAGGCCGGAGCGCACAACGGCCGAAACTTTGTAGGAAATATGGTGACAAAGATGATAACAATAGTCCGAATAATTTAAAAAGGGTTGATAAGCCGTACAAAATGAGTCAGTCAATCAATTAGACCCTGAAAAACATAAAGATTGAATTTTCTATGAAAAGGAAAACCAAATTAGGGACAGGAAAGACGCCTATCTGTCTATAGGCGCGATAATTAAGTTGCCTGTCCAGTTGGAGTCAATTAGAACGACAGCACGTGTACCATTTGGCCGAGGCAAAATCACTTGAGAAAGGTACGACCAAATTAACTACAACAGAGCTTAATTCACTTCCCTTTTTTCATACATGCTGCCTATGTAAACTATTGTCGCATACATGCTCTGTAAATACGTAGATTAAGTGTTTTTCTTTCAAATATACACGTTGTATGTTTTCACCTACGAACAAAGTCTTATTACATCACAAACATGACTTGTGTTGGTACTGAAAGTGGCGTCTGCTCGTATGACGTGTATCATTTAGTTGCTGTATACTTAGCAGGGACCATAGCTTTGTTAAAACAAACTTTGATAGTGTGGCATGCAATTGATGAAACTGTTCTTTTGTTACAATAATAATAATAGTAGTAGTAGTAGTAGTAGTAGTAGTAGCAATAATAAGTGATCTGATTTTCTTCAAATATATTGTTTTCTTTCAAACATAGTTAAATGCTCTTCTCTGTTTTCACGCATCAAGAAAGCGTTGTCATAACGTGGATAACGTAATGATATTCAGTTATACTCTCCACGAGTCATTCCTATACCTTTTTGGCTTAATTTCAATAAACAGAATTGAAATAAAGTTCTGACTCTTGCTTTTGATTAATCATTTCCTCCTAAGCAAGGCAATAAAGTAACTATGACGCAGGGGGGGGGGTTATTGAATGCGAAAGAGTAGAATAAAAAGAAAGACAGGGATTAAGAAGACAGATGATAAGAACATTGCATATAATTTTTTGAAGATCAATGTTGACTGGAAAGCAAGAAGACGGAAGAGAGTTCCACGAGCGAGAAGTGCGAGAAAAGAAACTGTTTGCATAGAACTTACGGTTACATCTAGACTTTCCAATTGTAAAATGATGGGACCTTGCCGCCAATCGAGTACTTCGCTTAAATTCACAGTCTGGGTACCATACAGGAAAATCCAACAGAATAATTACCATGAAAATATTCATAGAAAAGACACAGGAAAGCTAATTTACAGCGGTGGGAAAGTGACTGAAGCCGAGATGTCAGGTCGGGACCAATAACATAGCAGATTCTCTGAATTTCATCAAGAACTTCTAAATATATAGTAGGAGCAATATTCAAAACAACGATGACTGGTAGACTTATAAATATGTGAGATAGATTCAGGAGTTGTCTAGCACGACACAGTGAACCAACTTTCTTAGAAGCAGATTCAATATAATCTTTCTACTTTATGTCAGCGGAAAATATTAGTCAGAGAAGGCGCAACAAGTCATTTTCCTGGAAGTTGGTATCAGCCATGCTGATAGAAGGTAAAAAAGGTTCTCTCAGACTATTAAAAGAGAGCTGTTTTGTTTTGGAAGCGTTTAAATTAACAAGCCACTCCTTGCCCCAGTTAACAACAGATTTTAGGTCATTTTTTGGATCAGCTGCCAAGTTGACCTTATCGAACAAAACAAACTTACTATTAAGACAGAATTCAATATTTGTGTTATCAGCATAGTTATTGAGCTGAGAGGTGATGTCATCAGGAAGGTCATTGATGGAAATTGGAAACAACGTAAGTCTAATGGCCCTGGGAAACACCTGCATTAATGCAAAAAGATCTAGACGAATGGCCATTCAAGTCTACATTCATTTCTCAGTTTGATAAGAAACACAGAATCAGTTCAAAAATTCGTACATAAATACTATAAACTTTCAATGTGAGAATTTGCCAAACGCTGGCAAATGCTTTTGAGATATCCAAAGCAACAACCCAAGCTTCACTATTATTATCTAACGCTTGATACACTTTCAGCAATAATCGTTAATACACCAGGTTTGTCCTAGAGAAGCGAAATTCATATTGCTTATCAGAAAAAAGACCCTGTGAAGTGAGATGTTTAACCAATTCAGATTTGATTAGAGCATCTAGTACTTTGCCTAAAAGAGATAGAAGGCTAATAGGCCCAAAGAAGGATCAGATGCTTTGCTAAAGTTCTTAAAGAAGAGGATTTCCATCAAACAGGAAAGGAAAAACAGCAAGATATTTACTGTAAAGTTTAGAGAGAACAAGAGCCAGTTCAGGGGCATATATTTAAAGGACTATTGCAGGAAAACCATCAATTCCACATGCTTTTTGGGGAACTAGTTTAGAGATGATAAAAAAAAACCATAAGCAGTGTTATATGCATATCACTCAACAGAGACTTGGTTCTAAGGGGAAAGTCAGGCAAAAATACTCCAGATGAGTCATGAGTAGAATTAGAAGAGAATTTAGGAGTAAAATATTCTGCTTCGTCAGTAGATGTTAACACCTAAAATTTCGTGACGAGAGGAAGGAGAGAAGACTTACTCTTATTAGGAGCAGACACAAATAGGCCTCTCTTGTACTAAGAATGAAAGAAACATATTTAATGAGGGCCGAAATACGCTAACGTACAGCGTGAAGTTGGTGGAGTAGAACTAAAATCAGTGGGCATCGATAAGAAAAGATCAAATCTTATTTACGGATAGGGGTTCGATTCCAGTTGGTACTGAAATGCTTATTGATTCAATTTTTGAAAAGTTTTATTTATTTGTTTATTTCCCTCCACGAAGGGTGTGTTTTATTTATTAAAACATTTCCGCGATATCACGTATCTGATAAAAAAGAAACCACTCGTAATGAATAAAAACCGACAGAGCTATAGCGATCTTAGATCAGGACCGACAGCATTGGTCACCCAGTAAGGACTGAACTCACAATTCACTTGTAATTGCTTTAGCGAGGACAAGCTCGCTAAACATTACACCACATCAAGGTGCTATAAGGATTTTCTAAGCGTAGCTTATATGAAGCACAAGGCCGAAAGTATGGAGCACTAGATAGAATCGAACTCACTACTCAGTTGCAATTGATTTGACGAGACAAGCATACTAAACATTACAAGAAATGCCCTAATCCAACCAAAATATGTCCTCTTACCCGAACACATTCGACAAAAAAGAAGTTAATGTGTAATTTTAGTAATGTCTATCCTTTCGTATCATTTCAAATAAAAAGTGTTTTCGACTTATTCTACGTGAAAACATTATCCGTTCTGTAGAATTACTTATATAATAATGTTATTGTAGTGATTCCTCGAATGTATTATCAATATCCGAGGAATTTCCACGAATACCGTTCGACAAATCTAATTTTGTCTCGTGCAGTTTCTTGCATAACGACATCGCCAGCTTCCAAGTCGGTGACAATTGCTTCAGGTCTTTTATTATTAACAAGAAACACCAGCTTGTAAAATTTACTCATTAAATATCACGCATTCTTGACAAAAAGAAATGATATACTCATAAACAAACACGTTCCATTAAAAATCAATAGATAGATAGATATGAATAGAATGTGATAGATAGATAGATAGATAGATAGATAGATATGGATAGATATGAATAGATAGATAGATAGATAGATAGATAGATAGATAGATAGATAGATAATAACGATCTTTTCCAAATACAATTCCTAATATCTCATACATGTCTGAGGGGGAGAAATATATATATATATATATATATATATATATATATATATATATATATATATATATATATATTAAATAAAACAGACTTTACTTCCAAACAAATTTTTTTTTTTGTTTGTTTGGAAGTAAAGCCTGATGATCCACAGTCCTTTTAAAAGGGCTGTGGTGAAATAATTTATTACATGTAACCTTAAAGTGGCCTATTTTATTTATATTATTTGCTCTGGATTTACATTGAGCTCTCTGGATTTTATCCTCATTGGGTTTACCCATACGGATTACCTACTTTTTCGTATTCTATATATATATATATATATATATATATTGGTCGGTTTTCTAATTATTTTATGCCTTGACTCTACATATATATATATGCATTGACTCTACATATATATATATGTAGAGTCAATTCCTGATACCCTCTGACGAGTGGAAGGACAGGTCTGTCTAGGTAACTCTGAAGGTAACGTCAAGCAGCTAATTCACAAACCTTTTACTTGTATTAATTCTCTCTCTGTCTCTCACTCTTTTATATATATATATATTTATATATATATATATATATATATATATATATATATATATATATATATATAGATAGATAATATTAGTGGAAAATATACATACATATGCAAAATATATATAAAAAATTCCCATACATGTATATTTTCAGAAAAAAAATTTTTCCAAGAGGAAGGATCCAGTATATATATATATATATATATATATATATATATATATATATATATATATATATATATATTTTTGAACAATAAAAATATTTAAAATTAAAATCTTCAGACACACTGGGTTGTATATTAATATTCTTTTATTTTTATTATTATTTCATTTAGATTCCTCGACTAGTTTTGGCCACCATGGCCATCATTTTTTTAACATGAATTTTGGTCAGTCCTTGTGTTGGTCAAACAGTCTCTTTTAAGTTGTTATTTAAGATAAGGGCTGGGTGGATTTATGCTGCTCTGAATTCCCTTGGTCATTTTGACAGTTTTATTGGTTCCTGGAAAGGGGATGTGTCTCTGTTAAGAGTGTGTGTTATTTGGTTCTTAGGGAGTGAGTGAGTATGCTGTCTGTAAGCGTGTATATTCGTGTGGGTTTGTGTATTAGTGTGAGGCCTCAACACCTTCGCAAGCATGTCTATCTTGTGTTGGTGAGAAATGTGGGTAAGTCCTGATTTGTGGGATTATATATTAATAATATCTATATTGTTCAATTTGTGATTAAGCCCGTATGGATAGTACATTTTTAATCGTTGGATCCACTTATTTTCATGGAACTCTAAAATCTTTCTAATGTTATCTGCTCTGAACGGAAATGTTGTTCTTCAGGTAATAATCTTTCATGGGGAGTCGACTTAATTCGATTGTGATAATTATTAATTCTGTAGTGAAAGGGCCATTCAGATTTTCCTACATATTGTTTCTGGCATAGTATGCATTCTAGGAGGTAAATTATGTTATGAATTCTACAGTTAGAGTCGTGGTAGATTTTGAAAGTAGATTTAGTGACTAAGCTAGTGAATGATTTCGTGTGTCTCATGTGGTTGCAGCATAAGCTCCTTTTGTTGTTACATGGTTGGGAAAATCCTGTTGTTTTTGTTTTTGTTTTTTTACGGATTACCTTGTTCTCTGAAATGTGATTACTACCTATGATTTCTTTTAGGTTCTTAGGTCGACGATATGCTAGAGAGCTGATTTTCCCAAACAATTTTTGTAGGTCTGGTTTGAGATGTAGTATTTTCCAGCAACTTTTGATTATTTGGGATAGTGGAGGCATAGTGGGACTGAAAGTGGTTACTAGAGGGATGTGGCTGGGTTTATTTTTAATCTTGTACATTAGGGTGTCTTCTCTAGGTGTGGAAATTGCTTTATTTATTTGTTCCCTGATTAGGTGTTGTTTATAGCCACGTGTTGTGAATTGATGTTCGAGATTTTGAATGTGTTTATTTAGTTCTTCATTGTTGGAATATATCCCTCTGAGTCTAAGTGCTTATGAGTAGGGAAGGTTCTCTCTGGGGTGTTTAGGGTGGGAAGACTTAAAGTGTAGATAGTTGTGGGTGTCGGTGATTTTAGTGTGTAGTGTCGTTTGTAGTTTCCTGTTTTCATCTATGTAAATGCGGGTGTCTAAAAATGTTACCGATCTTGTGGACTTTTTATAGTCAAACTTAATTTATATATATATATATATATATATATATATAGAAGCGTAATTCGTTGTTCCACTCATTTCATTTTCTGATCTTCATTTCCTGATATTAAGAATTGAACATATAAGTATTGTTTGCTTCTTTCTATCACGAATTTAATTATTTTTCCGTAACCAAAACTTTTATTCTTTGATTTCATGACTGTTATTTTTAAGGTTAGCTATCTGTAAAAACTTCGCTTGATGCCATCACACGACTTGAAATCTTTCTTTCTTTTTTTCAATGTTTTATCGAACAACCAAAATGATACAAGACGTGCCGTAATGGTTAGCAAGAAATTCTCGGGGACCATGAGCGATGAGTTTAATCCGCATTGGTGCTATATAGATATATACCTATGAGAGCGGAAAGTGGAACTGGCGAGCCAAGTTCAAATCTCCGCTTAGTCTATTGTGTTTCTTTTTCGCATAAATGACCTTGTAAAAGGTATAGTTCTATCTATTCTAGTTATACGTTAAATAGCAGGAAAGACTAAGCTCTCTAGCTTTACTTAACAGCCAGTATAAGAAAACTCTAAATTCCAAAGCGTGGAGACAATGGCAAGCCATTTCACCATCTTTTCAAAAAAGGCAGAAGCATTTTTCTCTCGTCTCTTCTCGGGGCTTTTTTTCTTCTTCCAGATACAATATATTTTGATTCTGTTCCTTGATTCTGGTGGACAACTCTCTAAATGATAGCTAATGGAATATCCACATTAAAAAAGAAGCTTATTGGTGGCTTTAAACATTAACCTCATGATGAGTGGTGTTGAGGCCTGCGTGCAAAATTGATTCCTTGACCTGAAAGTATGCATCGTCATCAAACCCGCCAAAATTCGAAGGCCAGCGGTTCAAGAATAAATAGATGGGAACTGTGTTCTGGGATTCAAAAGCTGTATTGATCATAAACTTCATACAACTCTGTCAGTGAGCACAAGCAGATACTATAAACACTGGATAAATTGAGGGTAGTTTATCGAAGGAGTGTCGGGTCTTTTCGTAAAGGGGTCATTCTGCTGCACAACATTGCTATCCTTGATATAGACAATTTAAAAAAGAAAAAATATTCCAATCATTTTGCTTGGAATATTTTACCGATTCTGCTGCATAATCCTGACTTGATTCCTTCTGATTACTATAAAATCAGGCCGCTCAAATGATATTTATCCGGGAACTAGTTTCACATAGATGATGCTGTTGGGCAGAGGTACATCAGTATCAGCTGTTTCTTGTCCCTTTATCCCTTTATTTTTTATGAGAAGGGTATTTATACGCTCGTGAACCGATGGGATAAATACATCAATCTTTATGGCGACTAGGTGGAAAAATAGCACAGTAGAACTGATGCAATATACGTAAAGTTTACTTACACAGAAATAAAAATGCTGGTTAAGACAATGTATGTATCTTTCTTTTCAGACATCCCTCTAAATTCATACCAGAGGAGACTATATGACACACAGTGCACCATTTCTCTCATTAATTATTCCCAAGCAAGGTGATAATGTCACTAAGCCGCAAGGGGTTACGCGGACTGAAAAAGAATGAAAAGACTTTAGAAGGAACCAGAAGAATGCGAAAAAGAAATAGTAAATAAAATTTCAGATTTCATTAGGAGACGTTAAAAGTATAGAGTTGAACAAAATTTTAGAAGCCAGCTCGGGAACATATTTCTTTAGGACGACGGCTGGAATTCCGTCGCATCTGCTTGCCTTAATTTAGAAATGGATATGGCTACTCCAAATGTGTCGAATGTTGAGTTGAAAAAGAATTTACGAGCAAAGCATTAAACCATATCTGCTGTAGATATTAGGACTTCTAATAGAGGTGGGATTAAGTATTTTCTGTTGTTCAGAGCCGCCAATAGCCACGGAGGCACATTTCTATAGGTCAATGGCTAGTTTACCGTCACCTCTGCTTTCCTTATGGGAATCTAATTTTGAAATGATATCTGAGACCAATGACTGGGTTATACGCATATCACTCATTAGGATTTCTATTTAAATAGGAAAATCAGGTGTGACCCACCAAAGGAGTCGAGTGTTGAGTTGGAAGAGAATTTCCGAGCAAAGCACTCAACCTCATCTGCCGGAGATGTCAAGACTTCGAATTGATTGAATAGATGAGGGATTGAGGATCTGCTGTTGTTCAGCACACTCTTGCAGAACCACTAATAATCTCCGAACTTGCGAGATGCTATAAGATGTTTCATTCTACCAGCAAACAGAAACTTCGCTTCTTTGAGGACAAGCTTGCACTCGTTACGAGCAGAGACAGTGAGATGTCTGTGTTGGAGTTTTGGGTAAGCTGGTGCACTAGTGAGCCAGCCAAAATGAGCTGACTCATTTTATAGTTCACCAATAGAAGGGTTAACCAATCAGAAGGCTCAAAATATTCAATGCGACGTGTATAAAGGCGGCCATGTTTTTTCCCGAATATGCACTGCCAGCCTTTGATATCAAAGACTGAAGAATTACTGAACAGCTGCTGGTGGTATTGGCGATAGAGTCAGATTCAGTAGAGTGTCTGACTCGTGAGTGTTAATTTTTAATGTTTCATTGAACAGATTACGTACTGCGCTGTATTCTATATTCATAGACTATGATGAACATGGTCAACAGTCTGTTGCAATCGGACGTGTCTCTCTGGTAAAACCGGAAGAAGTGATTCCTGTGGGTTATATCGACCGAGCATGCAGGTGGGAACCAAGGAGATGAACGCTGTTTAACTTGGTATTTTCTTGCTGGAATGAAAGTATCGATGCCGGCTTTTACCCCGGAGGAAACCACACGCGCATTTTCTTAACAGGGTGATTAAAAACTCCATTCCAAGAGACGTCACGAAGAAAATCAATGAACGTGTCCCAAACTGCTCGTTAATAACATGAAGATGCTCTGCTGGTAGAAGGTTCTTGGCTGGTGGGTGAGAAGGAGATGTTTACAGACACTACCACATGACTGAAGTTGCCAAGCGAGCAAAGCTGCGTAGTAGGAAAAGAGTCGGGGATAAAGGTTAAAAAAGAGATCGAGAAGAGAATTGTGTCCGTCAGGCCTACTGCGGAAACGCGTGGGGAGTAACCCCTTGCGTGAGAGATTGAGGGATTGAGAAGTTAAGAGAATGTTAGAGAAAATAAAGTTAAGGGGTTTAGGTGTCTTTTGTTGAGCTGGTTTATGTTTATATCGTTAGCTTTTTATAGTCATGGCATTTTATTTTGGTAATGTAATGTAGATGCGGTCTGCAACAGTGCGCAACATGGCACTACCTGAACCCCGATATTATGCGACTGTTGATCAGAGCAGCAAGAGTTCGGGCTTCCAAGTACCAGTAGGGAACAGCAGCCAGAATACTGCCAACCCTGCACCCTCAGAATGAAGAGACGTTGCCACCATCTACACATATCACAAAACATTCATGAGTCTCTACTCCTGTTCAAGGGAGTAAGTTTTAACTTAGTTAAAGTCGAGATGTCCATTAGAAATTCAACAAGGAATTAAAGATGGCAGATACATTCACCTGAAAGAACTTTACAAGACGAATAGTTATGGGTGAATCTCCAGTTAAGTTATAACAGAATGGGCACTAATAACTTATATTTGGAGTCGCTCTGCGACCCACAGAACATATTAGACCATGCCATATTTAAATGACATTAGGAGGGAGAGGCACTAACAGGTAGTTCGTAAGGGGGTCAGTCTCAGAATCATAGCAGCAGTAACTATAGTGAAGTGAAAATTTTTTGATAATTTTCTAACATTTCCAAAACAAACGTCTTCGTAAATTAGACTAAAACTGAAAATTCAATAAAATAGCTTAGAATATTTTATTCAATTTTTAAGATTACTGGGTAGATAAAAAAATATAAAAAAGGCGTTCACGGTATATTCGTCAAGTAATTATTACGATTATATCCTCCTTAAAAAAAATTCCAAAACATAAGTCTATAGAGAGAGTTTTCAGCACCTCATGAAAGCACCCACTTCCGTGTTAAAAATGTTTTTTTGACAATATTTTGAACTAAAAGTGATAAGTGTTTCAAATCAAATTAATTAAACTTTAAATCAGCTAATTTCCATCAAATAAAATTTCATAAAACTATATTTTATTGTTAAAAGACATTTAATAAAGAGTTTTATGTTTGTCAATATGGATGCTTTTAAAACTCATTCCAATTTAAATTCAGTTCGAAATACAGCGAAGTATTTTGCTTGTGGGAAATATTGAATGTAATCTATTAGCTTTAAATTAAAATTTAAATAAAAGCTTCAAGAAATATTTTTCATTTTTAAAAATGAATTAGGTATCGATTTTCTTTGGGGTGCATATATATATATATATATATATATATATATATATATATATATATATATATATTAAATAATGCAGCTTGATTAATATTGCAGTCATTCAAAGAATAAATCAATAAAGTCAATGTAATTAATAGCGATTTAACTTCGCTAACATATTAAAGAAGCCATTGACTCATTGACCCCCTCGCTGAACGACATGGTCCTTGTTTCTATTAATTGTAAAATGCATTGTATGTTAGGTCCATATTGCAAGTACTTTCGGTAAAACATTTACCATCCTCAGGCGTAGATGTTATTTTTTTTCTCAATTCCAGGAAATTTCGCGCAAAAGTAAGGGAACCCCTATATTTAAAAAAAAACTGTCCCTTTTTCCCGATAACCAACAATATCAACGAGATGTATTTCAGTCAATATTTTGAGGCACGGATTTAAAACAATCAATTTTTAATCCATCTGAAGTCAAGAATGAAAACAACGCACTGATTGTGGTTGCTCGGAAATATATAGACTTGAACGATGACTCATTCGTGCGAACATATAAATATACCAGAAATCCGAAGTCTTGAGTCCTTGCATGCATATTAGAAAGTTCCTCTTAAGTACATATGAAGCTGTATACAAAAGTAATGTACATTTCAATTAACCCCACACCGGTGCATTTACAATATTCTTGCCGTTCTTCTCTTCCCTCTTCTTCTTCCTCTTTTGACCCCTTCTTCACATTCTCCTCCTCCCTTTGTATTACACTCAACGTCGTGCGTTTGTTTATTTATTTTTGAAAATAACAATATAGCGTTCATTAATATTTAAAAAAATAAAGCGTTAAGAAGTCATTTGATAAAAATTGGCTGAGGATAACGTAAGGTTGAAACAAAGGTAGCAGATTCAAGTGACCTGCTGATATATATATATATATATATATATATATATATATATATATATATATATATAATGGATTTTCCTGTCGGTTTCGATGTATGAGGATCTGACAACTTAACCCAATGATTCAGTTATGAATTTTGTGCGATAACCTTAAGTCGCACTTAAGACCCGCAAGTGATTTACAAAGGAGGCCGCATATGGTGCAAGAGTGGGGATTGTGGGATGAGGTCACTGTTAGATTGGCTGATCCTTTAGATCTTTCTCTCTCTTCTTGAAGACAATGCAGACTAGAAGATTGAAAACCGCTGAGTCCACTAAAACACGTTGATCTCCACTCTACCCGCTTCAAGGCTAAGCGCTCGAGGGTGTTATGGGGTATATTGACAGCTAACAATTTGACATTCAGCTTGTCTTTATATCTAAGCAATCGGCGTCCTACATTCTTGTATACCTGATCTAACTTGTTGCACATTAGGATTTTGGGTATCCTGTCATCAGACATTCCCAAGACATGACCAGTCCACCATAACTGAGACTGTATGAGAAAAGTCTCGATTCCTCCAATATTACACCTGTTAAACAGGTCTACATAGGATGTCCTGTATTGAAGGTTAATCATACAGATGACACACGCAGACAGCTCTTATGGAAAACATCCATATATATATATATATATATATATATATATATATATATATATATAAGATGTCTGTCTGTATTCTATGTGGAATTTTTGTAGCCGCTTTTAATCAGTCACTATGTTACCATTCAAAACTGGTGGTTTCCCACTGACATGAGCGGAGGGACTATATCGGATCAATTGTTTCGTCTACTGCAAGGAAAATTGATTTACGGTGTCGTGCCAAAATATTTTTCTTGTCAGAATCGATCTTGCATATTTATAAATCTACCATTTGTCCATACATTGAATAACTGTGGCCATATCTGGTCTGGTGCTCCTGCTGTACATTTCATGATTCTTGACAAAATCCAAACAAGGATCTGTAATGTAATCGATCCTGACCTGGCATCTCGACTTCAGTCACTTTCTCGCCGACGTGACGTGGTTTCTCTCTGTCTTTTCTACAAATATTTTCATGGCAACGGCTCTGACGATCTTATTTCCTTGGTGAATTTAATTAGATTTGTAACTCGGTCTCACCGTTGAAATAGCTAAATTCAACAACCACTTCTACCCCAACAGTTTCTTTTCTCGCATTTTCCACCAATGGAACTCCCTTCCGTTTCCTTGCTTTCCCGCTAACTACAATTTTCAAATATTTAAATGCAACGTCAATCGTCATCTTTCTTCTGGAATCCTGTCCAAACTTATATCCTCCCTATTCAAAGACTTCTCTTTCACTTTCTCTACCTGTAATCCTTTGCATTCTAGTGGCTTTACTGCCTTGTTTGAAGTGAAATGTTTAGAAAAGAATGGTGAAATTGTGGAGATGCATTATCGCCAACATCTTGAAAGTACACACCACTACTACTTCTACTACTACTATTGACAGTAATAATTTTAATAATAATGCTACATCGTATATAATAATATGTAACAAACAAATGTTTCATAAACCATGTGTCTAAAAAAACATTAGTATATTTTGTGATAATATTATTTCATTTCGTAAAGACGTTCTGTCTTTTCTTTTATTTTTGAATCTATTTGTTTATTGTCAATGAAGGAAACAGAAAAAAACAACGAAAAAGAATTCTTATTTTGTCGGAAGCGTTAAATACGTAAAGAATATAAATGCTTTCCAAATAACAATTGCATGAAGCGAAGTGTACTGAAACAAAAAAGGTCATCGTGGCGAAACGCGAGAGAAAGCTGTGGTAAGGAAAAATAAATATTTTATAACACGTAAATTCTGGAAGTGATTTATTTTCGTGGGGAATTTTATTGTCAGTGAGTGTGGCTGAGAGGTGGGTCTGATAGGCGGGGCTGGAGGTGCCTAAACGAAGAGGTTGAAATACAAATGAAGTCGACAGCGTAAAACTGGTGGCTTCTCGAAATTGATGAGAAAGGCTAATACTTTTTGATTTGAAGAAAGAAAAAAAGTTGTAAGAATCCTTGCCGTTTTTATAGACAGTCTGACGCGAAAACTTTTGTTTGTTCTCTTGAGAGAAAAAGATGGAGAGAAAGCAAGAGAGAGAGAGAGAGAGAGAGAGAGAGAAAGAGAGAGAGAGAAAGAGGGAGAGAGAGAGAGAAAGATGGACGGTGGGAAGGAGAATGAAATAGGCAAAAACAAAAAAAATGTTCTATGGACTTCTTTGTTGCCTTTATTCAGTTTTTTAGTCATAACTTAGAGAAGAATATTTCTGCTCATTCCCCCACACACATATTTCTGTGTGTGTATGTGTGTGTGCGTGTGTATGTGTGTGTGCGTGTGTGTGTGTGTGTGTGTGTGTGGGTGGGTGTGTGCGTGCGTGCGTGATATACAAATCTATATATCATACTAATGGTAGGTAAGTGAATGAAAAAGCAAAGAAAAAATCCTAAGTGAGAGGTTAACATTTTGAGAAGGAACTTTTACTTTTCATTAATAATAATAATAATAATAATAAGAAGAAGACTTATTGAAGGGATCCCTGGTAGCCTATGCCTCAAAGGGTTACTAAAGTGCTCTCACAAATACTACTTACACCTTACGAAGCGCCGTATCTATGTTAAATTTATATGATGTTAGTTTTTTTAAAAATTTTTACAAAACTGTTCAGTAGAAAATGTCATGATGCCATTTTTGCCTTCAAGTCTCTGGTTTGGCGCCGGAAGAAAATGAGTATAAAACAGAAATCAAAAGAAATAATAATAATAATAATATTAATAATAATAATAATAATAATAATAATAATAATAATAAGAAGAAGAAGAAGAAGAAGAAGAACGCTGATGTTGGAGTGAACGGGCCAGTTTTATTTTTAATGCTCAAAGAAAGCGATATCGTATTTTAAAAAGGGAAGTTTTGATTATTTTAAATATCCATTTATTCTTTTATTTTTCTTTGTTTATTAGATCATTATTTTTATTAGATCATTATTTTTTATTATATTATTATGCATTTATGAACTTTAATTATTAAAATACATATTTGTTCATTTTTTTAAGATGTGGCATACGTCGATTGATTTATTTTTAAAATAAGCAAGTTAAATTTATTAAGAAGAATGTCTTACTAAAAATTATTATATTAAGAACATTTAATACATTGTATTTGTTAAATTACTTATACAGTGGCACGAATATTTCTATTATATTTACATTTAAGTGTAGCATTTCTCTTTTTAAGCAAGAGGACGTAATTTTCAAAATTGTAGGAAACAAATTTCGTGTAGTAATGTTTGTTTTGTTTTGTTTTGTATATATCTGACTATTGGTTCAGTATCGTCGATCTCTTTCTCTATCATTTATCAATCAAACCATTTAACAACATGTGTCTATAATTTTATTTATTTACCTTTTCTTATTTATTGTTTGTAGCGTAATTTTTTTATGGGAGAGGATATAAGCAAATTTGTAGAAAAAGGCGTTTCGAGCCGCAACGTTATTTTCTTTTGTTTACTATTTTTGTTATTGTTTCAGAATAGACAATATCTTCTATTATTTATTTTTCAAACATTTTTAACAAAAACAAAAATTTCTCATATATTTGATGATAATTTTATACTTTTATGCGAAGTAAAAGACACTGAATTAGAGAAATGCATCTGATAAATTTAAATATAAGTCAAAGTACAATCAGACATAACCGAAACACAAATGAAATGGAAATAGATAATATGACAGAGGATGCGTTAAAAACTAAAATAAATGGAATACGAAATAATTATCTAAACAGGAAATGGAACTGAGGAATCTAGCTGCGACATAAACAATTTCATTTATTTAGGTTCTGTCACTGATCAAGATGAATCAAACGACATTAGAGCAGAATTCCTTGAAAATGGCAGAGTTAAAATCTTTCTTTCTATGTGCTGTGTCCTTTCAGGACGTAGGCGATCATGGCTCTCCACCTCCCTTCTATTCTTTCCAGCTCTCAACATGTTCCTTCCCTCTGCCACCTCCTTCGGACCACGTTCTGTCATCCACTTGCTTAAAGCCGCTAGGTATGTCATGCGTTGTTTTCCCTTGTCTCTCTTTCCCTCTATTCGACCCGTAAGTATCAGATTCTCCAGACCCTCCTTTCTCATTATGTGTCCCAGAAACTTCAGCTGCCTTTTCCTGATGTTAAGTATAAGCCTCCTTCCCATTTGCATCCCTTCCCAAACCTCATCGTTGCTCACACGCTTGGTCCATAATATCCTTAGCATCCTTCTGTAGAACCACATCTCCGCCGCCTCGAGTCTTTTCTTCATCCTTGAAGAGACCGTTCAACATTCGCTGTCGTAAAGGAGGCCAGATATCACGTAACAACTCAGTATTCTTTTCTTTGTTACCAAAGAAATCCTCCTGTCTCGCAATATTCTGCCCAGCTTATGGAATGCGTGCTTGGCCATCCCAAGACATCTACGTTCACTGAAGTGAAAAACTGCATCATTCAAATAATCAGCAAAGTAATTTGCACACAAATGTCAGAAAGGCACCAGCTTCCAAAAATTCGTATGACAGAATCCAATAAATATAAATATGGTGCAAACATATAACGCTGCATGGAAAACACTGGAAAACATCACAGAAGTAAATAATGTCATATATGCAACAGATGTAGCAGATACTGAAAAACTTAATGCTAAGACAAAAGATTAAACAATAAAAACAGCCCACTTGGAGGGTAAAAATTAAAGTGAGAAATTGAGGAAATCAGAAGTGAATTATGGACATTTGAAGTGATTTCAAGAAAACGAAATGTTTCAACATGGAAAAATAAGAAGAATAAGCGAATTATAAGATTAAAGCAGTAAAATGTCTTGGGTATGACATTAAACTACATCCGCGTCCTGGGTATGACGTTAAACTACATCCGCGTCCTGGGTATGACGTTAAACTACATCCGCGTCCTGAGTATGACGATAAACTACATCCGCGTCCTGGGTATGATGATAAAGTACGTACAACAGCAAGGCCTCTGCTAATAGGTTTTTGTAAAAATAATATTACCAGCTATATATTTTTGAGGAAAATAAAATATTAACAGAAATAGATTTTTGACAAAACAAAAATATTACCAGGAAAAAAAAAAACGTTGCCGGCATTAAATAACCCATTGAGGTTGATATGCCGTAAAGCAAAACAAACTAAACCAAAGCTAAAGCAGTAAATGAAATTCCACCAATCAAAGAAATATTTAAACAGAAAATGCAATTAAAAATACGGCGAACAAGACAATTATGAAAAACGTTGTGAGTTCTTTCGATAAATTAAGATATTCCAAACGGACCTCAAATTTTGAAGGGAAATTGGAAAAGAAGTTATAGAAGTCAAACATCTATTGAAGATATGCAAAAATTTTGGGAGAATTTTTGGAGCAGCCTAAAAGAAAACAATCCCAAATGCAGAGTAAATCAAAAGAGAACAAGAAAGAATGAAGTATAAACCTGTACAAGAATGGAAAAAATATTACCAAGAATAATGTTAGGCGAGTGCTAACAAAATACCAAAAATGGAAATCCCCACGAAATGACAATTTGGGTTCTATAATCTGTCATCAATCCATAAAACTCTTGCGCAAAATTTATCAATGTTAATAACCTCAGTGAAATTCCACAAAGGATCACTGAGGGTATTGCATATCTCCTACCCAAAAAACGTTTAAAACACATAATTCAAAGGCCAATAACGTGTCTATTCACCACATATAAATTGATCACGTCTGTCCTGACGAAGTGTAATTACTTTTTTATCGTTGAAAACAATATTCTTCCCCTGGAACAGAAGTAATGTCAAAGAAGTCCATATTGTTGCAAAGATCAGCTACTAATAAATAATATTATCCTGGAAAATTACAGGAAAGAAAAAGGTAGAAATGTCAGCACAGCTTAGCTAGATTACGGTAAAGCCTTTGATAGTGTGCCACACCCTTGAATCCTTAAGGCTTTGGAAATGTAAAAAGTCTCCTCGGTGATGGTATATTTCCTTAAATATAGTATGGAATTGGAAAACTACACTCTACCTAAATCACACCAAAGGTACGACCATTTCTAATTGTTTGATAATCCGACGAGGAAATTTTAAGGAGACTCCCTGCCGCCTCCTCCGTTCTGTTTGTCGTTAATACCCCTTTCGCAGTAGTAATCATGGATACAAAAAGTAAAAAAAGGAAAGGTTTAAAGACCTATTCTAGATGGATGATAAACACTTTGCCAAAGACTACAATGAGTTGAAGGGTATCCGCAATACTGTAAAATGTTCCAGTGATGACATCGGTATGGATTTCGGATTAGATAATTGTATATAAGTAACATTCACGAAAAGTTGAATTACAGAAACACATTCAATAGGTCTCAGCTTTGTCACAAAGATTAGGAAACTGAAAGAAGAAGCCTATAAATATCTAGGAGTTAACGAAGGAGATGGAATACAGCATACCCAAATGAAAGAGAAAGTAAGAAAAGAATGCTACAAGTGTCTGCGTCTAGTGTTAAATACCGAGTCGAATTCACAAAATAGAATATCAGCCATAAACACTTTGGTTGTCGCTGTGGTGCAATACAGTTTCAACATCCTTAATTCCACCGTAGCTGACATTAAGCGAATGGATGTCAAGAAGAGAAATCTTCTCACTTGCCATCGCATGCATCATCTTAAAGCTGATGTTGATTTTCTGTATGTGACCAGATCCGAAGGAGGCAGAGGATTAGTTCAACTAGAACTGTCTTAAAAAAACATAACAATAGGTTTTCAAAGATACCTGGAAACTACAGAAGACTAGATGATGAGCTATGTCAAAGAACCTGAAAGCGATAAGAAACTTTATTCCGTAATAAAGGAAGCCAAGATATTCAAAATGGAATTCCAAGTGGGTAAAGAATGCAAATAAACAAAAATCTACCTACTGCAGTGGCAAAGAACCTAAAAATCAAGCAAAATCAAGCAAATGTAATGTACTAAAAGAAGAAACGATGGCAAGATTATCCACTTCATGGTCAATACTCTGCTCGTAACAAACAAGCTGATGCACGTACCAATCAGCGGTGAAGGGTTTAAGGCTGAAACCGAAGTTTTCTAACTAGATGCACACATACTGAAAAAATGTGTTAACCCCAAATGCAGGTTAAATATAAAATTATCAAAATATTAAATAATAAATTTTAAAATATCAAATATTTAAAATATCACATATTAAATAAATTTTAAATGTCAAAT